CTTCCTTATGTTGTTTTAAACCTGCTGCCTATTAATTTCATTGGGTGACTCCTGGTTCATGTGTTATGTGAAGGAGTAAATAATACTTCCTTATTCACTTTTTCCACACCATTCATGATTTTCTAGACCTCTCTCATATCCTCCTTTAGTCGTCTCTTTTCTAAACTGAAAAGTGCCAGTCTTTTTAATCTCTCCTCATATGGAAGCTGTTCCATGCCCCTAATCTTTTTTGTTGCCTTTCTCTGCCTTTCCAATTCTAATATCTTTTTTTAAGATGGGGAGATCAGAACTGCACACAATATTCAAGGTTGGACACACTCTGGATTTACATAGTGGGATTGATATTTTTTGTCATATCTATTCCTTTCAGAATGGTTTCTAACATTGCTAGCTTTTTTGACTGCCACTACAGATTGAGTAGATGTTTTCAGAAAATTATTGACGATGATTCCAAGATCATTCTTGAGTGGTAACAGCTAATTTAGACCATATCATTTTGTATGTATAGTTGGGATTTTTTTTTTTCAATGTGCATTACTTTGCATTTATAAACATTGAATTTCATCTGCCAGTTTCTTGCCCAGTTTTCTGAGATCCCTTTGAATGTCATCGCAGTCAGCTTTGGCCTTAACTATCTTGAGTAATTTTGTATCTTTTTTACCACCTCACTGTTTACCCCTTTTTTCCAGATCACTTACAGAGGTTGAACAGCACTAGTCCAGTACAAATCCTTAAGGGATCCTGCTATTTACTTCTCTCTTGTGAAAACTGACCATTTATTCCTACCTTGTTTCCTATCTTTTAACCATTTACTGATCCATGAGAGGACCTTCCCTCTTAACCCATGATTGCTTAATTTGCTTAAAAGCTGTTGGTGTGGTACTTTGTCAAAAGCTTTCTGAAAGTCTCAAGTGGATCATCCTTGTGCATGTGTTTGCTGACACCATCAAAGAATTCTAATAGATTAGTGAGGCATGATTTCCCCGTATAAAAGCCATGTTGACTTTCCCCAGCATGCCATGTTCATCTATGTGTTTGATAATTGTGCTCTTTCCTAGAGTTTCAGCCAACTTGCCTGGTACTGAAGTTAGGCTTACTGGCCTTTAATTGCCAGGATCACCTCTGGAGTCTTTTTTAAAAGTCAGTGTCCTATTAGCTATCCTCCAGTCATAAGGTACAGAGATTGATAAATTAAACAGTAATAAATCACCAGGACCAGATGGTACTCACTTGAGAGTTGTGAAGGAACTCAAATATGAAATTGCAGAACTACTAACTGTGATATGCAACCTGTTGCTTAAATCATTTTGTTCCAAAACCACCTCTACGGACACCTCAGTCTTGGACAGTTCTTCAGATTAGTCACCTGAAAAGAATGCCTCAGGTGTGGGAATCTCCCTCACATCCTCTGCAGTGAAGATCCGTGCAAAGAATTTATTTAGCTTCTCCTCAATGGCCTTCGCTTCCTTGAGAGCTCCTTTATCACTTTGTAGCCCTTCTGATTGTTTGGTGGGCTTTCTGCTTCTGAGATACTTGAACATTTTTTTTTTGCTCTTAGTTTGTCTGTTTTGCTCTTTGCTCTTCAAATGCTTTTTTGGCCTGTCTCATTGTACTTTTACACTTAACTTGCCAGAGTTTATGTTCCTTTCTGTTTTCTTCAGTATAATTTGACTTCCAATTTTTAAAGGATGCCTTTTTGTCTCTAGCCACCTCTTTTACTCTGTTTAGCCGTGGTGGCCTTTTTTATTTTGTTTGGTCCTCTTGCCCCTCCCCCCCTTTTTTTTTAATTTGGGGTTACATTTAGTTTGAGCCTCTGTTACGGTGTTTTTCAATCCATTCATCTTGCGTACATTTCATTTTTGTGACTCTTCTTTTTAATTTCCATTTAACTAGCTTCCTCATTTTTTATGTAGTTGCACTTCTTGAGGTTAAATGATACTGTCGTTGGTTTTACCGGTATTTTTCCGCTCCCATAAGGATGTTAAATTTTATTACATTATGGTTGCTATTACTGAGTGATTCAGCCATTCACCTCTTGAACCAGATCCTGTGGTCCACTTAGGACTAAATCAAGAATTGCCTCTCCACTTGTGGGTTCCAGGACTAGCTGTTCCAAGAAGCAGTCATTAATGGTGTCAGAATTTTCTCGGCATTCCATCCTGAGGTGACATGAATCCAGTCAACATGAGGATAGTTGAAATCCCCCATTATTATTGGATTTTCTGGTTTTGTAGCCTTTCTAATCACCCTGAGCATTTCACAGTCACCATCACTATCCTGGTAAGGAGATCAGTAGTATATTCCTACTGCTATACTCTTATTATTCAAATATGGGATTTCTATCCATAGAGTTTCTGTGGTACAATTTGATTTTATTTAAGATTTTTACTGTATTTGACTCTGTTCTTTCACATACAGTGTCACTCCCCCACAAGCAAGACCTACTCTATCATTCCTATATATTTTGTACCCTGGTATTACTGTGTCCCATTGATGATGATGATGATCATCATCATCATTCCACCAAATTTCTGTGATGCCTATTATATTAATATCCTCGTTTAATACCAGGTGCTCAAGTTCATCCATCTTAGTATTTAGACTTCTAGCATTTGTGTACAAGCACTTATAAAATCTGTCAATATTTAGTTGTCTGCCTTCATGTGATGTAATTGAATGGGATACTTTTTTGTTTTTGACTGTTTCACTTTAGTTCCTAACTGTACTTTATCAACTTCTATCCTCTTCTCTTTACAAGGATATAGAGTATCCCCTTTAATAAATCCTTCCCAGAGGGGTGGCTCTGTCCAAATGATGTGCTCCTCTGTATGTCAGCTTTCCCCAACTCTTTAGTTTAGAAATTCCTCTACAACTTTTTAATTTTACATGCCAGCAATCTGGTTCTGTTTTGGTTTAGGTAGACCCCATCCTTTCTGTCTAGGTTCCTCCTTTTCCGAAAGGTGTCCCACTTCCTAATAAACCAAAATCCTTCCTCTGAACACCCTCGTCTCATCCATTCATTGCAGCCATGCAGTTCTTCCTGTCTAAGTGGCCCTATGTGTGGAAATGGAAGCATTTCAGAGAATGCTTCCCATGGACGTCCTGGACTTGAATCTCTTACCTAGCAGCCTAAATTTGGCCTCCAGGATCTCTCTCCTACCTTTCCCTGTCATTGGTACCTATGTGTGACCATCCATATATGTCTATCAAGACATCTTGAGAGGTCTTCACCATGCAGTTCTCCTGGTCATCTTCTGGAATCCACCATTTCTATTACTTGTCTCTTCCTAATAACTGGGTTCCCCTCCCCTAGAGGGGTAGACTTAATGTGAGATGAGACCATGACATCATCTGGAAGAATTGTCCAAACTATGGGATTGTTTCCTTCTGCTCCAGTTTGATGTTCTCCTTCCTCCAGATTTTCATCCTCCTTAACAGCACGGAGACAATCAGACTGGGGGGTGGAACTGCTTTACTGTGTCCCTGAAAGTCTCATCTATATATCTCTGTCTCTCTTAGCTCCTCCAGTTCAGCCATTCTGATTTAAAGAGCCTGTACTTGGTCTCTTAGGCCCATGAGTTGCTTGCACTGAATGCACACGTACACCACCTGTCCATGAGACAGGTAATTATACATGCTGCATTCAGTGCAATAAACTAGAAGCCCCCACATCTGCACCCTGTCTGCTCTAGGGCTTCCTCTATTGACCTCCAGTCCAGTTTTCCTGCTTTTTCAACTCCCAATTTGTTTGTTAATTTTGAGTGAACTAGTCATTAAACTGAAATGAAGAAATAAGCTCTCTGTACCTACAGAGGAGGCCACTGCTGTCCAAAGCTGGTTAAACACTTCAGCAAACTCTGGGTGCTTCACCAGTAGCTTCCATCCATTCAGTGGTTTGACTTTCTTTAAAACTTAGGAGCAAATATGTACTAAATATTTAATTTTAATAGATTTTAATAAATGTAGATCTTAACATTGACAACCTGTCATATTTAATTTAATAGTTTAAAAAAAAACACCTTTAATTTTAAATAAAAAATCCTTTAAAGTTTGTTCATCCTTTTTTTTTTTAATCCCCTCCTGACTGGCTACATAAAGGCAGAAAGGATGTGTGTTCAGTTATCGGGTTCAGTCCCACTTCTTGCACTGTTAAGCAGTCGAATGTTTGTTACTCTTGGCATTGTAACATGTAATTGCTAACTTCACTTTTAAGTCATTAAACACAAACAAATCTAGTTTCATCTTGTGTACCAAATAGTTTGCCCTTTTTTGTAGACTATAACCTATTAGAATACCTAATTTTAAAGCATATGGAAAATATTGATGGAGCAGTGTCTTTATGAATTAAATAACCTTGGATTGTTACTCTCTTCCTGACTTCTTAATTTTTTGTAAGATAGAAAATACTTGAACATCTGCTGTAAATTAAGAATGAATACTGTATTAGGGACTAAAGTTAAACATGCATGTGCATAATTTTATTGTGAGTAGTTACACATATGTAAGGTCAAAGCCTTAGAGTACTAGGCACTTCAGTAATGGTAAAATGACTGACTTTGCCCAAACGGGGTTACAATCTTAAACAGACAATATACAGATGATGAAGGGGATGTAGCAAAAAGCAAATGGTTGAACAATGAAGTTTAGAAAGTGCAACAGTTTTGGTTTTGAACATATATTATATTAATGGTGTCAGCTGTATTGCTGATGCCTACAATTGTAAATACAGATCACCCTCTCTATTCCTTGTTTAAGCAGAGAAATCCCTCCGAAGCTTAAAATGATAAACATTTGCCCTGTTGCTCCAGGTGCCACGATAGCTAAAGAGTTTCCATATACTTATTCAACAGCAGTGATATGGTTCAGTCAGCACAGAAAAGCATTGCACATGATCTGTGCCTAAAAGCAACTGTGGAGTCTATTTGTTCCAGTAGATTTTCACTTTTTGATTAGTAGTAGTAGTATACCACTTAAACACTTTTTTTTCCCCTCCCTCACAGGGTGTTCCTGTAATGGCAATAAGAAACAAAATGCTTTCTGAGGGGCTAGACCCAGATCTCCTTGAGTAAGTAATACTTCTATCTTTATACTAGAGTTGGAGTGCTATGCACTTAAAGGCTTCAGTTATGCTGTCTGGAGTGGATAATGACCGAGAGTGCCTATTTCAGGGCAGGTACCTCAAACAAGTAGTATGTTCTACAGTTAGATTTTACCAAGCTGGCAATGAATGTGAATTCCTGGATCACTAGAACAGTCTTACCATGGAGTCACAGACAGTCCCCTTGTACTCTCCAGTCTATCGTACCACCCCAACAAACTGGATTTAGTGATAAATGGTCACTTACACCAAAAATTCAGGTTGCTTTCAGTCCCAGGAGACTAGTCACTTACCTCAGATCAATTGGAACCCTAGATCTTACACCAAAGACTATGCCTGTAGCCAATCCTATAATAACCTATCTGAAGGTTTATTAACTAGGAAAAATAAATGTGTGTGAAAGCAAGCAAACACATACACCTAAATGAGTTATCTAAATCCTAAGTGACAAAGTTGTTTTCTACTGAAAGGAAGGAACCCATGGTAGTTTTGAATTGGGGGATCTAGATATATTGCCAGCCAGTAGTGCTGCTTCTGATTGATTCGTTGGAGATGGTGATTTTTGCAGAAGAGTAAACAGCATTACTTTCACCAGCGATTTCCCAATGATGTCACCCTGTTCCTGGAAGTTGGTCTACTTCTGTCTCTATTCTCTCGCCAGCAGGCACAGCAAGGGAATTACTTGGCTGATTCAGTCATCAACCTTCCTTAACACCTTTGTGGCCTCATCCAAGTGCTATAGGATTCTGTTAGCTTCTTCATGAGCAGCCAGTGGAAGGGAGCCAAATGGAGTCTGGTATCTGGCTGTGCTAGCCTGGGCCCAGAGGTGTAGAATGCTACCACTGCTTCTTTCTGGTCATAGAGATTTTCTATCATGTAAAAGGTGGAGTTCCTCTGGTGATCACCTGCTTCATCTAGTGACATGGCATTTTGTGTCTCCTGCAGCTCTCTATGATTGTGGCGTGCTTCACGGGATAGCTGAAGTGGCCATAGAGCTTTCTAGTTGTTGACAGCAGTGCCAGCAACTTTGCATTCCCATCCAGAAATTCCATCACAATCAGCCTGAGGTGGTGAGCAATGCAAGGGACATGTGAAGCCACCATCATGCTCTGCTTTTCTGATGCTCACTTCATTATCTCTTGCCACAAACCCAGCAAAGAGATTGAGGGGCTGTAGGCATCCTAGACAGTACACAGTTTGTCCAAGATGTTTGGGGATTTATGCTGTTTATCAAATCCAGATACGCAAAGCGTGGCATTCCATTGATTGAAGATGTTCATGTTGTTGGTGCTATGGTTAGTCTTTCCATTCTCCTCCAGTGGACTGTAAGACATGTAGTTGTCTGATCACTAGTCCACATATCCATGATTAGGTTCATGCTCCCACCTTCACAGTTAACCAGTCCAAGCTGTACTGCACTCCTCACAGCACCACCAAGGTCTGGTGCTGCCTTTTACACAAAATAAGAGCAGCTAGGGATCTGCCACCTGGGGGCAACTGCAGCCACAAAGAAAAGGAGTACTTGTGGCACCTTAGAGACTAACCAATTTATTTGAGCATGAGCTTTCGTGAGCCACAGCTCACTTCATCAGATGTGTACCGTGGAAACTGTCTGCTGCAGTTTCCACGGTACACATCTGATGAAGTGAGCTGTGGCTCACGAAAGCTCATGCTCAAATAAATTGGTTAGTCTCTAAGGTGCCACAAGTACTCCTTTTCTTTTTGCGAATACAGACTAACACGGCTGTTCCTCTGAAACCTGCAGCCACAAAGCATCTGAAGCCCTCACCCTCCATGTGGGAAGAAGGAAGCATGTCCATGGCCAGCATTCTCACACATAATCTGGTCAGTTTCACTGTTGCATTCATATTTTTGCCCCCGTACTCCATTAGGGTCTGTTGAGTGGTACTGCAGGGCTTAGCTGACAAAGTTGTGGAAAGCATTGGTGGTGTCACAGTCAACATCTGCTCTTTCGTAGTTAGAGTGCTTTTTAGCTTTCCTCCAAGTCCTGAGCTTGCTCAATCACAGCTTAGTCTCTCCCTCTTTTTGCAGAGCTGGCAAATAGCACTGGTAATGTCCACAGTATCAATTTTGGAATGTTCCCAAACCTGCAATGCAGTTGCTTATTTGCATTTTCAGGAAGGGATTGGAGGATTATAGCTCGTGATGACTCTTGCTGCTGAGAAAAATGCACAACCTTCCCCCTCCCCTCCCCCGGAGTTTCCACCAGAGCTATATCGAGCAGAGATGGAGGTGGGTTCCTCTTTCCCCATCTCCCCCCTGCCCCCACACTGCACCTGAGAGCTGAGACTACCAATACCAACCACATCCTTTCTGGAAGTGAAATAGTGGAACAGAGTGTTTAGAGGGAGCTGATGGTCTCTGGCCAGTGGCCTGCTGCTGTCTCTCAGCCTTTACAAGAACAACTTCATGTGATGCTGGATTAAGTGGAGGCATGCCACTAATCTCACCAGCAACAGCACCACCCCCATGCTGAGTGGTCAGCTGTGCCACAGGGAAATATTCCTGTTCAGAGGAGCTGTGTGCCTCGGGCAAAGTGGATATTGGTGGTTCCCATACCTTCACTTCCAGCTGTGTGTGCTGCAGAGCTTCTCCACTCTGGACCACTTTTGGAAGCTTGCCTATTTAGCACTCAAAAGTGCACCATGCAAGAACGCTATTTGCAAGCAGCCACATGCTGCAGTCTCCTGGATCCACTGAAAAAGATTGGTTTCAGAGTAGCAGCCATGTTAGTCTGTATTCGCAAAAAGAAAAGGAGTACTTGTGGCACCTTAGAGACTAACAAATTTATTTGAGCATAAGCCTTTGTGAGCTAGAGCTCACTTCATCGGATGCATTCAGTGGAAAATACAGTGGGGAGATAGAGAACATGAAACAATGGGTGTTACCATACACACCGTAAGGAGAGTGATCACTTAAGGTGAGCTATTACCAGCAGGAGAGCATGGGGTGGCGGGGCAGGAGCCCTTTGTAGTGATAATCGAGGTGGGCCATTTCCAGCAGTTGACAAGAACGTCTGAGGAACAGTTGGGGGAGCGGGGGGGGGGGGAATAAACATGGGGAAATAGTTGTCCTTTGTGTAATGACACATCCACTCCCAGTCTTTATTCAAGCCTAAGTTAATTGTATCCAGTTTGCAAATTAATTCCAATTCAGCAGTCTCTCGTTGGAGTCTGTTTTTGAAGTTTTTTTTGTTGAAGTATTGCCACTTTTAGGTCTGTAATCGAGTGACCAGAGAGATTGAAGTGTTCTCCGTCTGGTTTTTGAATGTTCTAATTCTTGACGTCTGATTTGTGTCCATTTAGTTTTTTACGTAGAGACTGTCCGGTTTGACCAATGTACATGGCAGAGGGGCATTGCTGGCACATGATGGCAGATATCACATTGGTAGATGTGCAGGTGAACGAGCCTCTGATAGGCTTGAACCATGGCAGGGTTAGGTGAAATCAATGAATTAAATAAGTCTGCCTCTTACAGCAATAGAACCACCCCAAGTACAGGGCTCAGAGAGAGAACCTGTAATCTACTAGGCTGGGAGAATCTTCTCAAAAAGATGCTGATGCAGAAAGCAGGCTGCTTTCTCTTCTTGCAGGCATGGCATCACGCAAACACAATCAAACCCTCAGTCACAAGGGTGAACCAATCTGAAACTGTGTAGTCAGCCAATCAGTGAACACACAGGGCATCATGTGACCAACTACAAGAAAAGTTGGAACAAAATAGAAAACTCAGAATAATGCTCATTGGAACAAAATGGTAAAACCAAAACAAAATGAAATTCTCTACCTTTTAATCATCCTTTTTATGAATTTTTTTCATAAAAATAGTTTCAGAAAATTTTTCAGTTTTGACAAAACTACATATTTTTTGGCAAAAATTTCAACCAGCTGTAGTACATACCTTGTTTTGAACAGCCTATTCTGAAACAAGCACTTTCTTTTAATAAGGTAAAGATTGTGTCTTTAGGAATAACTACTAAAATACTATACACTAGTCTGATCAGTAAGACTGTTTTTAAAAACCCCATACAGTGGAAATGCAAGGTAGAAGGTAGTCAGCAAAACCTTGTTTGAAAATCCTAGGCACTTTTTGTCTCTTAAAATGTTACCATTTGTTACTAATTTTTTGTAAATGTCCCTCTTTTATGTCTAGGTGTATAAGGCAGGATTCTAACAGTGAAACTAAACCAGAAAAGGCTGCCCATTAGAAGTTGAAACATGTTCCTTATTTTAAAATGTCGCAGATATTGGCTTGAAAATGCTGGGAAGGAATTATACGTCATTTGGGATCATCCTCAACCCCTTTTAAGATTCTGCAAAGTACTAACATTCAGGCAGATGGTCTTAAAATTGTTGATATGGAAATCTCTACGTAGATAACTTACCTGTACAAAGCAAACTAATTGTTTGGCAAAGTGTGTATTTGCTTTCAAATCTGCAAGCAAAAACTTGAAGGATTCCTCCTGGGGAAAATTTGTTTTGAAAAACAGATACAACTTGAAAGCATTTTGGTACCAAAACAGGCAGTCTTCCCTTCTTTCCCAACCCTTCCATTTGCCCTGCAAGAAGGGGTTAGAGAAGGGAGGCCCATTTCCAGGGCCATAGAAATCTAACTGTCCTCCTGCATGGCAGTCACACTGTCGTTAGATCTTTAGCTTGGCCTGGCCTATTCTTCTATTCCCTTTTCCCCTTTTTAAAAAGGTACTATGGCACTTTCTTCAGTTTTCATACCAGAAATCAGGTGATCTAGTCTCTCCCTGCTGCTTCCCAGTGTCTGAAGTGACTTTTCTGAAGGCAGCACTTTCTCTGACTGGAAAGAAATGCTGTTTCTAGTGGGATGTAGTTTCTCTTCCTTCTCTATCGTCTTTCCTCTCCACTATTGGCTTGTGACTTTTAAAATTCCATATTGACCTTAGCTCTGAGTCTTTCCGCCCTTCCTTCCCCCATGTTTCCTTATTTTTTATTTTTCTTACACATCCTATTTTGTCCTCTCCTGTACTTTTGAACTTCAGGGATTAACCACTGTTGCCCTAATCTTGTCTGCGGGTCTCTACAGATCAAATTGCTGCAGTGCCATGGTAATAAAGGAATAATCCTGAAGGGTGCTGTTCGCATGGGATATGCATGGGGAAAGCAGAACCTTTGTTGTGTGTTCTCATAGGGCTATAACACATCAAGTGACTCAGTGTAGGCACTTCAGGCATCTAAATCAAACGAATTCAAGTGGATTTAATATGTGCAAAATTGAGGCTGGAAAGCACCTCTGTGGCAGGTATTAGGAGATGACCATTAGATATGGGATACTATGGCATGATTGACTTGGCAGTTATGATATCTGATTCTATATTAATGTATCTTGCAGGTGATAATTAACTATGAACTGAGAAGTTGGTTTTCATTCATTTGAACCCTCCACTACTCTCAAATATAGGTACCTTCCATCCCTATGTACACACTTAATGTCAAATTGTACCAGGAGTGATGTCCCATCCGGCACTTACCTTTGTCACATTTCACAAACTAAGCAGGATTGAGCCTGGGAAATACTTGGCTGGGGGACTTCCAAGAAAAAACAGGTCCTGCAGGAAGTGATACTGGTGATTCATTAGGTGGCACGCTTTCCCCAGAGTTTACACAGAACAAACGTTCTGGCATGGTATTAGCATATCTAAGAATACACTACTTCCTGTATTTCAGAGTAAATGCAAGAAGCTTGACCGCTTGTAGTCATTGAAGACTTTCTGCAAGTCAGATTTTCAGTCCTGGTATCCTAGCCAAATTCCAGTCTGAGTGATTAATTGTTCTTGCCTACCTAAAACTATCCTACTGTTTTAGTTATGTACTGTATTCACTTCCTGTCTTGTACTGTTTTCACTGCTTAATGGTGCACAGCATGTTCCATTCTGTAATGGTCCTAGAACTCCTGAAGATTGTACAAGAATTTGGATTAATCAATAGTGTCTGCTTTCAGCTTTCTCTTCAGGTGCCAGTCAAACTTCTTTTAGTGACTAAGGAATTTTCTGGAGATCTCTTAATGTGTCTCCAATCTGAACTCTACTGGGTCTTCAGAGCTTGCAGTCCACTGGATTTTAAGTTACACATCAGTTGAAAATGAAGTGGTTCTAACCCAATATATTTTTATATCTTAGATTGTAAACTTGGGTTTTGTTTTTAAAATGCTGTGTACATTTATGGTGAAAGCTGCTAAATAAACCAAGCTATTAGTAGCATTTTGATCATATTTTTTTTTCCCCTGGAATTTAACGAAGTGTAATCTTTCCCTTCACTTTTAGAACACCAGATGCCTTAGTGCCTGCCTGGGGAGATGAAGTGAATGCAGAAGAAAGTTCTGACAGTGAATCTTCATTTAGTGACTAAAGAGACTGATTTCTGCCTTAGAACTTCTGATAAGTGCTATATATTCCATGCTTTTTATATTATAGCAGGAGAATAGTAAATAATTATTCATATGGCTCAAACAAAACCAAACACCTTTTTTGGTGCTGTGGTCCTCGTGTTCTCTTCCAGGAAGTTTTGACAGACAGACAGACGCATTCAACCTGAACTAAGAGCCCAATCAGTATAGCTCATAATGCATTATCACAAGCTGAGAAGGCCTTATACAAGATTCTTCTGTCTTTCAGAAGTAAAAAATACTATTTATATATTAAACTGTCATTTGTGAAACTCTAATAAAGACTTTTGTCTGATATGATTAGACTTGTAATTTAACATTTTGTTTATCTAAATTCATTCTTCCTATCCCATAGCTTGCAGGGTAGGCTTTTCAAATTGGAATGGCCTAATTTCAGACTGATGCACTGTAATGTTCCTTATGCTATGATTTTATACTTAAATGATGCAGCAAGAAATACAAAAGTTAGCTATTTTATAATGAACACAATGAGTTCTGTATTGCAAACTGATCTAAAAATCAGATATTCAGAAAAATTAACTCTAACTTTCAAAGTGTAAACTGGTATTCTGGCTTCAGACTAAATTTGATATAAAGTTTGATAAAGAAATTTCTGTGTTTTAAAAAAAATGAATCTGTATAAATCCAGATTAGACTGGAGTACAAGGCTACACAACTCCAGCGAGTTGTTCTGAAAATGGCATTGTGAAGGAAATGGGTTACTGGAAGATTATTAACGGAATACTGAAGCCTGTCACCACTTAGTCACTGTGACACAGGTCAGTAATAACCAAAAGTAGAAACCATCCTCTGACAGCTGTTTGGCTCATTTGAAGTGATCTGTGGTCTTAGTCCATCTTCTGTTGGACAAGAAACCCTCTTATAATTGGTGTCCTTTTTGATAGTTTCAGCAGAGAAGCCAAGGATTCATTTTACCCAGATAATAAACCATCCTCTCACCTCTGGAGTTGATGTCTTTGAACCAGCATAAAGCTACGTGGTGTGGGGGAGGAGGTATGAGGAAACCCATTCTGTGCCTGACTTATCCACAGAGCGAATATCTTTTTCTAAAACACTTAATTCACTGTATGGACCAAACAGCTTGAAATTCTGTAAGACTTGTATGATACCATGTATTTTACATCAAATTCTTCAGTGTACTTGGTCTCAGTGGGTCTCAATTGAATTCCTACACTGAAATGTTAGGCTAAGTGCAGCAGAACTACTAGATTGGCTGGATCTTTTAAATAACATCTTTTCACGTTCATCTTAAAACACAGAGGGAAGACTAGAACTGCAGCTTTGATTATGAACAAACATATCAGGTTTTATTAGAGAGCTCATTACATCCTCCTGCCTTGAGCAGTGCTTCAGATAAAGGCTTTGCTCCAGCAAGTCATCTGCTCATTCTGTAACTTTTAAGGACAGCTCTTATATAAGCACAATGGGAAGAGAGAAACTCTGGCCTGGTCTACGCTTAAAAATTAGATTGGCGACGCATGTCATATAGGGGATGTGAAAAAATTCACAGCCCTGAGCACTGTAGTTGAGCCGCCTTATGCCCCAATATAGACACAGCTAGGTTGACAGAAGAATTCTTCCAAAAACCCCTTCCATGGCTATATAAAATTTCTACACTATGGCATTACAGTGGCAAAGCTGCAGTGCTGTATCTGTGCTGCTGTAGCTTCTGTAGTGTGGACATAGCCTCTCTGTATAACCTCTACATTTAAAATATCTATAACCCATATGAAAGCCTATGTGCACTAAAGAATAACTAGTGAGTATTAATAGATGAAGTTTAAGCTAGCATTTGCTCAAGTAATAAGTATTAAGATATGTTAGCAATAAATAGTTATTTCAGAACTTAAATGTTTGTTTATTCTTTCACATATAGTAAGACACTGGTACTTCATGAAGTCTATTTGAAACTGATTGAAGCACGTGTATATAATTAAAGCTATGTTTTGTAAACAAGTTGTGACTGTTCATTGTATAACCAATATGAAAATCTTTGCTCTGACTGTTTCACAGAATTGTCATAATCTTATTTAAAACAAGTTAACATTTTTACATTTCATTTTCTTATTGGTGGAGTTGCACAGTGATCACTTTACACTGTTATATAAGGCTAACTGTGGAGGATTTGTAATCGTCTCTAAAGGTAAATTTTATTTTTCTACATATCTTGATTCTGAATGTGCTAAAGTAGTGATAGTCTTGTGGGGAGGGGAGGGGGCAAGATTTTTAAAAAGAGGAGCAAATAGACTTCTCAGTCCATATTTAGGCAACTAAATAAGTGACCTGACTCTCAAAACTGCTGAGGATCCAGCAGCTCCCACTGAAATCCCAGTAGTGACCTGCATTCTTGCTTTAAGTTGATGGTGGCTGCTGGGTGCTCAGCACTTTTGAAAGCCAAGTCCTGTCTTCTGCCTCTTTTTCCATTGTAGATACACCCTAAGTGAGCAGAGGATGGGCTCCTATCAAGGGCAACTTCATGTTGTTAAGCCCTGGCAAGAGAAACTGCTTTGCAGAACCTTCTCTTCTTATGGATTCCAAGGCCAGAAGAGACCATTGTGATCATCTGGTTGGACCCCTTGTATAACACAGGCCATAGAACTTTCCCAAAATAATTCCTAGAACAGATCTTTGGCTGTATTTCTAAATCTTGATTTAAAAATTTTCAGTGATGGGGAATCCACCATATCTTTGGCAGATTGTTCTGACCTTGCTCACATAAAGAGTCACCTAAAGGGTGGGGTTAGTGGATAATCTTTTTAAAATTGTTACTCACCAAACATAAGATACAACATATGTAACTCAGATATAGCAGAGATTATTCCTCAAGAAGAATTTAGCAAGACCATTCAGAGGTTGTTTTAATTTGTTTTTGTAATGCCACTTTTAAATTAATGTGAATTGAGTCCATTTTAAACTAAACGATTTTTTCTCTGGTCACTAATAATCGAACAGCTGAATTTCTTCATTTACTTCAAAAAACATGGATTAAAATGTTTGTTTTTAATGGTGGCATTTCAGACACTTACAACTGACAAGCCTTAAATGGAAGCTTTTATGTGACCATAACTAGTATTTGCTATTGGGCATGCTGGAATCATTTGGCTTTTTCGGGTACCATTTCTGCGCAGGGGGAGAGGTCAGTTCTTTTGTATGGTTTACACAAATCTTGTTGCCATCTGCACTTCAGTTATTGTTCCTACTTCAGTGAAAATATAACTTAACCTTGAAAATCCTAAACATGCCTGTTGGTTTTAAACTGAAGTGTAGAAGCTGAAATAACGATCCCGTCCCTCTTAGCTTCAGTGAGAGATTCCCCCTCTCCCCTGCTCAACCTCTTTAGATCCTCTGTTGAATATGTGAAGTCTTGCCCTCTCCACCTGAATTACCTGAGCTGCCAATCATAATCCTGCTCCTGTGGTGTCAGGAATGTGCTGTTCCCACCTGGCCTCCAGCCTCAACTTCATCTGCATGCTACTACCATCCCCTTGCTGAGGGAGGGGCTGTGACTCTGCCAGGAAGGGGAAGGGAAGCACAGTGCACCTGCTGAAACAATGAGTACTAAGTATGGGAGATTGGTTTGGACTAGATAGTTTCAAAATTGTTTTCCCAGCCCTCTTTCCTATCCAAGAATCCTCTAGTTACCTGGTTCTAACTCTGGTTTGTCCTTAAACGCTTCCTGCAGGCTAAACCTATTCCATTCAGTAAGCATTCACTGTCTTCTCCATGTCTAGTTGGCAGCCAGTATCAAACAGAGTGCCCCAAGGGTCTGTCCTGGGGCTGGTTTTGTTCAATATCTTCTTTAATGATCTGGAGGATGGCGTGGATTGCACCCTCAACAAGTTTGCAGATGACACTAAACTGGGAGGAGTGGTAGATATGGTGGAAGGTAGGGATAGGATACAGAGGGACCTAGACAAATGAGAGGATTGGGTCAAAAGAGTTCTGATGAGGTTCAACAAGGACAAGTGCAGAGTCCTGCACTTAGGACGGAAGAATCCCATGCACTGCTACAGACTAGGGACCGAGTGGCTAGGCAGCAGTTCTGCAGAAAAGGACCTAGGGGTTACAGTGGACGAGAAGCTGGATATGAGTCAACAGTGTGTCCTTGTTGCCAAGAAGGCTAATGCCATTTTGGGCTGTATAAGTAGGAGCATTGCCAGCAGATTGAGGGACGTGATCATTCCCCCATACGACATTGGTGAGGCCTCATCTAGAGTACTGTGTCCAGTTTTGGGCCCCACACTACAAGAAGGATGTGGAAAAATTGGAAAGAGTCCAGCGGAGGGCAACAAAAATGATTAGGGGGCTGGAGCACATGACTTATGAGGAGAGGCTGAGGGAGCTGGGATTGTTTAGTCTGCAGAAGAGAAGAATGAGGGGGGATTTGATAGCTGCTTTCAACTACGTGAAGGGGGGTTCCAAAGAGGATGGAACTAGACTGTTCTCAGTGGTACCAGATGACAGAACAAGGAGTAATGGTCTCAAGTTGCAGTGGGGGCGGTTTAGGTTGGATGTTAGGAAAAGCTTTTTCACTAGGAGGGTGGTGAAGCCCTGGAATGGGTTACCTAGGGAGGTGGTAGAATCTCCCTCCTTAGAAGTTTTCAAGGTCAGGCTTGACAAAGCCCTGGCTGGGATGATTTAGTTGGGGATTGGGCCTGCTTTGAGCAGGGGGTTGGACTAGATGACCTTCTGAGGTCCCTTCCAACCCTGATATTTCTGTTATTCTGTGCAATGCAAAACAGTGCGAGAGAGTGGTTCATCTTGGGTCCATGCTAGTTTCACATAATGTTTCATTCAACAGAAAGGCCAGCTTTCCAGGTAAGCCTGCTGCTGGCAACTTCTTTTTAAATCAATTTATTGCTAAAAGATGCAGTAGAGAATAAATGAGGTGAAAGACATTCAGATAAAAATACACCTTTCTGCAGCCAAGTCTTAGATATTTTTAAATTTCTATGTAGGGCAATGCTACATTGTACAGGCCTGAGGGCTATTTCAGTTTATAGCTGGAATAACTCTTCAAGGTACTTACAAAACCTCCATTGCTGCAATATCTGAGTGATCCCAATCTTTATTATTTATCTTCACAACATCCCTGTGAGGTAAGTAAGTGTTGTTATCCCTAGTGTGCCTCAGTTCCCCATCTGTACTTAGTGGCTTGCTCAAGGTCTTATAGGAAGTCTATGGCAGATCAGCAAATTGAACCTGGGTCTCCCAAAGTCCTAGTCTAGCACCCAAACCACTGGGCTGTCCTTCCACTCAATTCCCCTGATCAGCTGCAG